TTACTCCACATCAGCGTTATTTAGCAACTCGCCAATGTGTTCGAGAGTCTCTTGGGTCCGTCTCTCGGTAGCCCTGCACACAGAGTGGAGCGCTCGCCCTGACTCAGAGAGGCCGACCTGCGCTGCTGTGCGGCTGAGCTCCACGGCGATGTCCCCTCCCGTGTTCCCAAGGCCGATCACCAAGACGCGTTTGTCCCGAAAGGCTTCCGGGGTCCGGTACTCTTGACTGTGCAGGATCTGCCCTTTAAACTTATGGATTCCTGAAGGGGAGGAGAGGGCCAGACAAGGTGAGTTATTTAAAGCTGAGGTTCCCCAGCATGCAGGGTTAGGGTCTGTGGAAAAAGGAAAGTACCAGAAACACGGCGGCTCTGTGGTGCTGGCCCTGCCATTAGTTACAGGACATAAAACAAGCTAGTGATGATCCTGGGATGCAGGGAGTTCGGATACAGATTTAGTGTCATCTTTCTTGTTAAAAACATTGCAAGTCATACATTCTGTATAAGCATTTTTTTTTTTAAAGTAATCAACGTGGAAAATCAAACTTACTACAGATAATAAGAAATATCACATATTCTATCATGAACAACCAGACCAAGAAGTAGATTCTTTCTAGTCTTATGATACCCCTCCTATATTAAATTTCATATCCTGTCATGACTTCTCTTATGATCCCTTTAATCTTATATCCAGACATGTATGTGATATATTCTTTTAGATATTGAATAAGCATCTCAAAGTATAAAAGTAGGAAAAGTAACAATTGTGAATATATATTCACCTACTATCAGAGCATCTAAATACATCAAGCAAATATTAAGAGACCTGACTGGAAAATTATATTCCAGTACAATAATTATAGATGACTTTAATATTTTTCTTTCATCAATGGACAGACATTCCAGAGAGAAAATCAACAAAGAAATGGTAGAATTAAACTGTTCTCGGGGCCAGGAAGATGGCTCAGTGGAATAAGCGCTTCCCTGGCAAGCGCAAGGGCCTGAGTTCAATCCCTGGTTCCGCCAAAAAACAAAACAAAACAAAAAAACCAAAAAACTATTCTCTACCCCAAATGTATTGAACAGGCATCTAAAGAACATTCTATCGAATAGTTAAACAATACACCTTCTTCACTATGCCACATGGAAATCCTGCTACCTCCAGGATTTTAGGTAGGCAAGAAAGCAAGTTCCACCAAATTTAAGGAACTGAAATGATATCAAGTATCTTTTTTTTTCTGACTATAATGCTATAAAGTCAGAAATAATAAGAAAAGCCTTGGGAACTATACAATTACATACAAATTAAACAACTTACTCTGGAACAACAAATGGATCAAGGAATAAATTAAGAAGGGAATTTATAAGCCTGTTGAGGCTTTCACAGAGAGCAAATTGGCAATGGCTGTGACTCATGGCTGACACTGACAAAGGATCTGCAAACTGTGGTACAGGGTTTCAGGGTAAATCCTGAGGGGATCTGACTGATCTTGGCAGATACAAAAGTTACATTTCTTGTTATATAGGTCTGCTTCATCTTGGTCTTAGCCATCCAGCAAAGTATAATAATGTGGTGTTAAAAGTAAAGCCATATTAACATGCTGAGCTATAAAAGGCTCAAACCAACAACTTCTGACACTGCCAGTCCCATGGATAACCCACTACTATTATGGACTACTGGACTATATTGGAATATTTTGCTGAATTCATGCACCTACAATATTTAAATGGCAATGGAATGAATACCCATCTCTGACAAAACTAAACCAAAAAAGGGGATACAAATGAAGGACCATTTTGGATCTGTATATACAAAATAGGATAGATATACAGCTACTCTCTCTTAATTCAATGAGAAAAAAGATTTGTACTAACAGTATTTGGACAGGATATCATGTCTGCATCTTGTACTATGAATAACCACTACAAAGACAACAATATGCAATGTATTAATTATTGAAACTATCTCATTGCTCTTTGTTTCTCAATAAAATTAATAAAAAAATAAGCCTGTTGAAACAATTGAGAATGAAAGTATAGCATAGGAAAACCTGTGGAAAAGCAGCACTGGGAATTTTATAGCAAGCAATGCCCCCGCCAAAAAGAGTCTCAAACAAACATCTGATCATTGCCCCACAAGGCACTAGAAAAGCATCACAAATCAAACCCAAGATTAATAGAAAGAAAAGAAACAATGACAATCGGAGCAGAATTAAATAAAAAAAGACTTAAAAATTCTTGAAATGATCAATGAAATCAAGGGCTGTTTTTAAAAAACATAAACAAAACTGACCAACCCTTAGCTAGACTAAGACAAAAGAAGAGAATATTCAAATAATAATATTGGGGATGAAAAAGGAGACATTACAACTGATCACAGAAATGAAAATGATTATAAAAGATTATTATGAACAATTATACACCAATAAATTGGATAACTTGAAAGAAATAGATAAATCAAAAAAGAAATAGAGAGGGGGTGGTGAATGAAAGCAAAAGATAGGAAAAGGAATATTGTGGGACTGTCCTGCTTCAACATTGTATATGGTGAGATTTTTGGACTTATGTGTAAATATAAGAAGTATATAATTCTTTTTTTTTATTTTAAATTTTTTAAATTTTTATTTATTTATGTGTGTGTGTGTGTGTGTGTGTGTGGCCAGCTCAGCCCACCAGGGGGCGGGGCTGGCTGGCATGTGGTGCTGGGGGATTGAACCGTGGTCCCTGTGCTTTGCCAAGCTTGTTCCAAGTAGGTGCTTTAGACCACTGAGCCATCTCACCAGCCCCAAGAAGTATATAATTCTTTATGCCTATTTTAAAAATATATTCTAATTTTTAAATGGTTTTTTTTTTTATCATATTCCATAGGGACTTAAAGTTCAACATTTCAATACTTGATGAAAAATACCTGTTCCATATTATGTCTAAGATGTTTGATATGTAGACAGATGAGGTTAAGCTTAACAGCCTAAGTTGTATGGTAATAACAATAAGCTTGTCTTCTGGATGGTTAACAACCTATGTTTGCAGACCAAAATTAGATGAAAAGGAGGGCTGTAAGGAAAGCCAACATTTTGGCCCTAGCCTTCCAAGGTCAATCAAGACTCAGGACCTATGAGAACTTGTACTGTAACGTCATGTAACTCGGTAGTGTACCAAATTTTCTGATCAAGGAGATTATGGGGCCAAAGAGGAAAGTGATCAATGATGTAGAGTGTGCCTAAGGAGAGTCACATGGAGAGAAAACACTCTCTCAGGCTTTCACAGAGAGCACATTGGTCAAGCAATGGCCATAACTCATCCACATGGCTGACACTGACAAACAATCTGAGGCACAGGATCTCAGGATAAATCCTGAGGGGATTTGACTGACCTTATCAGATCCAAAAGCTACAATTCTTGGGGCTGGTGAGATGGCTCAGTGGTCTAAAGCACCTACTTAAAACAAGCTTAGTTAAAGCACGGGGACCACGGTTCAATCCCCCAGCACCACATGCCAGCTAGCCCAGCCCCCTGGTGGGCTGAGCTGGCCACACACACACACACACACACACACACACACACACTAAATAAATGTAAAAAAAAAAAAAACAAAAAAAAAACAAAAACAAAAGCTACAATTCTTGTTGCATAGGTCTTGCTTTATCTTGGTCTTAACCACTCAGCAGAAAAGCATAAAAATGAAATATAAGAAGTAAAGCCATGCTGTTATGTTGAGCTATAGGGGACTCAGGTCAACAATTTCTGACATTGCCAGTGAAGCAGAAGACCCAATACTATTATGGACTACTGAACTCTTTTAGATTATTTTGCTGAGTTAACACATCTATAATATTCAAATAACGGAACTTAACAAAAAAAGGGGATACAGATGAATGTCCATTTTGTATCTGTGTATTCAAAATGATTAAGATAGATATATAGTTACATTCTCTTAATGAATAGAGTGATTTGTTCTAATGGTGTTTGTAGATAGGATATCATGTCCGCATCTTGTACAGCAATTAACCACTGGGAGGAATGTATGCAATGTGTTAATTATTGAAACTGTCCTACCAATTTGATTTGAAACTGTCTCATTGCTATTTGTTTATCAATAAAATTATGGAAAAAACAAAACAAAACAAAAAGAAACAGAGAACCTGAACAGGACAATCATGAGCAAGAAGATTCAATCAATAGTAAAAAGTCTTGGGGCTGGTGAGATGGCTCAGTGGTCTAAAGCACCTACTTAAAACAAGCTTAGTTAAAGCACGGGGACCACGGTTCAATCCCCCAGCACCACATGCCAGCTAGCCCAGCCCCCTGGTGGGCTGAGCTGGCCACACACACACACACACACACACACACAAATAAATAAAATTAAAAAAAATAAATAAAAAAATAAACAGCTAGGCTTAAAAAAATAATAATAAAAAGTCTGAGCGCTGGGGAGATGGCTCAGTAGAATAAGCACTTCCCTGGAAAGTGCAAGGGCCTGAGTTCAATTCCCAGTTCTGCAAAAAACAAAACCAAAACAAAATTACAAGAATAATAAAAAGTCTGTCACCAAAGAAAAGCCCAAGATACAATGGCTTCACTGCTGAATTCTTCCAAACATGTACAGAATAATTAATAATTTTTTTGTATTTTAGGGAAGGGTCTACGTGGTCTACAGGCTCTACAGGGTCTAACTACTAGATTGGACTCTAGTGATCTGCCTGTTTACAGCCTCCCAAATGCTGGGATTACAGGCGTGCACCACCACACCTAGTCTCAATTGCCATCTCAGTGTGCCCGGGGGAGACAGGGAGGGGGCCGGCACAGCAGGCCCAGGGATTGAACCCCTAGCCCCTGTGCCTGCTTGCAGGTGTTTTAATCTGCTGAGCTATTTGGCCAGCCCAATTCTTTTCTTTTTGGAATCAGGACTTGAACTAAGGACCTACCCTGCACTTGTCAGGCAGGTGCTGTACCAATGCCATAGATCCCTGACCCAACAATTCTTAAATTATTAAAAAAAATGAAGAGAAGAGAATTCTCTCAAACAAATTCTATAAGGTCAATATTAATTGACACTAAAACCAGATTATGACACAACAGTAAGAAAAAGCTACAAACTAGAATCTTTGATGAATACAGATGCAAGAAACATCAACAAAATATAAGCCAACTGAATCCAACAACACATTAAAAATACTATTCGCTGGGCTCAAGTGATATTCATGGTAGATAATGCAAGGATGGTTCAACATCACAAGTCAATAAAGGCGACATAACATATCAATAGGATGAAGGATAAAATCCACACATACAATCACCTAATCAAACATAGAAGAGGCATTTGATTAAATTCAAGATGGCTTCATTATTAAAAACCCTGAAAAAATTAGGCATATAACAGCATTTAACATAATAAAGCATGTAGATAACAAGGCCACAGTTTTCATCATATGGAATGAGAACAAAACTGAGAGCTTCTCTCTAAATTCTGAAAACAAGACACAGATTCTATTTTCACCACTTTATTTAACATTCATTCTGGAAATCTTAGCCTGAGCAAATATGCAAGAGAAAGAAATAAAGACACCCAACATGGGGCAGGAGGAAGTCAAACTGTCACTGTTTGTCCATAACATACTTTTATATGTAGAAAAGTCCAAAGATTCTGAAAACAAAACAAAACTAAGAATAAATGAATTCAGCAAACTTGAGGACAGAAAATCAACAAGCAAACATCCACAGCGTTGGTACTGATTATACCAATGGCAACTGTTTGAAAAAGAAATCAAGAAAGCAGTCCTATTTATAATAGCTGCCAAGAACACTTTACATAGGAATAAAAAAAAAAATGCATCAGCAGTATATACTTTGCCTGCTGTGATTTCCTAAAAGCTCAGTATTAGGTCATCGTGGAATAGTGATAGAAGGCCAGCTAGGCCGAGTTTGCAAAGAACATGTGTGGAGAGCAGCTTCTTAGTCTCATATGACCTGGAGGATCCAAAATGGTGAGGCTCAAATGTCTGGGACGTGGATGTTAGACAATTTGGTGAAAAGAAGTTTTAAAGTGCTGTGGTATTTACTGAGTCATGGACACAGAGCTAAGTGTAAGTCGATTCAAGGAAACCGCTTTTACCTTTTGATTCTACGGCAAACTGCCATTAGGCTTCTGTTGGAACTGCGTACAAAAGGGATAGTGGCTGTGTTGGCTAGAGAGCTTCTTCTACGGGTGTCAGGGTAAGATACATGGGTCCAGTGGACCAGATGATGGTCATGGGGGACAGAGAAAGTATGATGTACACTGAAAGCGATGTGTACCGCATGGCATGTGACAGACCACGACACTCTGACAATAGTCAGTTTGGGACTCACTGCACATTTTCTCCATAGAAACATTATTGCAGGGGCCAGTGAGATAACTCAGCTGTCTAAAGTGCCTTGCCTAAGTGTCCCTTAGGCAAGCACAGGGACAGGGACTATGGTTTGATCCCCAGCACCACATGCTTTGCCAGTCCTGGCACCCTGCCCCTAGGGTGGGCTGAGCTGGCCAAAAAGAAGAAGAATCTTTTTTTTTGTATTTAGGACAGGGTCTACAGGGTCTCACTGCCTAGACTAGACTCATAGTGATTCTTCTATTTAGAGCCTTCCAGGTGCTGGGATTACAGGTGTGCCACCACACCCTGTGTCAATTGCCATCTCAGCATGCTCTGGGGACAGGGCTGGCACAGCAGCCCCGGAGACTGAACCCCTGGCCCCTGCGTCTACCTAAGCAGGTGCTTTAATCTGCTGAGCTATTTGACTGGCCCGCAAAAAAGAAACATTACTGCAGAAGGTGGTTATATGTTCCTGTAGTCCCCAGGCCAGCAGCAAGCCTGAAGCTCTACCATCACTTATAATACTGCTTCTTGCAAAATTATGGATGGAAGGGGCCGGGTAGATGGCTCAGTAGAATAAGTGCTTCCTCAGCAAGTGCAAGGGTCTGAGTTCAATCCCCGGTTCTGAAAAAAAAAAAAAAGATGGAATCTTCATTTGATTCTTTTTTTTTTTTTTTTGGAACCAGTAATTGAACTCAGGTCCTCATGCTTGCAAGGCAAGCACTTATTCTACTGAGCTATCTCTCTGACCCCTTCATTTGATTCTTTTTTTTTTGGCAGAACTGGGGATTGAACTCAGGCCCTTGCGCTTGCCTGGGAAGCGCTTATTCTACTGAGCTATCTCTCCAGCTCTCTTCATTTGATTCTTATAAATATTTTGGAACATGATATTCTATATATTTATGATTAATTTAAAGATTTGTTTGATTTTTCTTGCAAAAGTCTGAAAATTTCCTTTTTTTTTGAAAGTTTTATTTTTGACAGTCTTCCTTCCTTATAAGTTCCTTCTATCACTCAAAACAATTTCAAAATTTCACTTACTTATTTGCCTTTACAGCCATAAGTAAGAGGCAGAAGAGTAGTTTTACTACAGCCCAATAATTTTCATTTGACTAATTCTATTTTCTGCAAAGTTCAATTTGAGTAAATTTCATCTTTCCAAGTAATCAGTTTTGACCTCAAAATAGGAAGATTTGCCAGTCATGTTAAGAATATGCTGTTGAAGTCAAAAGTATTTTTAGAAGAGAATTTCTAAAACTCATTTTATGGATAGCACTCATCTAAGAGGAGTGATGGGTTATTATTGTGGTAGCTATTTTGAAAATATGTTCCTTCACAAGTATAACTTGGGTTACTCCCTTTTAAAACCCTGTTTAACTTCCACCACAGCAACCATCGAAGAACAGTAGCCATGGCCCTCCACTATCCCATGGCCATGGGCCTCAACAAGGGCCACAAAATGACTAAGAATGTGAGCAAACTGAGGCACAGCTGCTGTTGCAGATGCCTCACCAAAATCACCAAGTTTGTGCAGGACATGATCTGGGAGGTGTGCGGCTTTGCCCCCTATGTGTGGCATGCCATGGAGCTGCTCAAGGTCTCCAAGGACAAGCGCACACTCAAGTTCATCAAGAAAAGGGTGAGTGGGGCTGGGGTGATAGCTCAGTAGAATAAGCACTTGCCTGGCAAGTGCAAGGGCCTGAGTTCAATCCCCGGTTCTGCAAAAAAAAAAAAAAAAAAAAAAAAGAAAAGAAAAGAAAAGAAAAGGGTGGAGACACACATCTGCACCAAGAGGAAGCGTTTCCTTCCATGAGGAAGGCAGCTGCCAAAAGGACTGAGCCCCTCTGGAATAAAGCTTTGCAGAAAAAAGAAACAAAAACCCCCGTGTAGAGCTCCCTTATACTCTCTCTTCCTTCACATCCTTGAATTACTGGTCACTCTGGATTCATCTGACTCTCCATTCAGTCTCCAAATTCAAAACCTGGGTTTTACTTTTACCTATTACAGATGTGATAGTTTGGAGCCTTCTTTAATCAGTAAACTTGAATTAGACATGCAAGTTAAGCTTCAGCAAAAACATTAGTACAAATAAATAGTACGATCTGGAATCTATGTAGTACTTTGTACCATTCAATGTAAATTTGCAGGTGGCATTCCTGAGAGTAAACATGAAGTTGTATACAATGATGGGGAAGTTTCCAATTGCAAATTAGTACATTTTCTTCCAGAATCTCCCAATAGGGTGGGCAAGGTCTCCAGCAGGAATGACTCACCTGGGAAGGACTCCAAAGGTAAGTGGGGACTCAGGAAATGTCCAGTGCAAATCATGACAGCATCAAAGACAGCACTGGTGTGCTTGCCCTCTGTCTCTGTGACAACATTCCACTGCCCAGTTTCAGAGAAGTCTGGACACTTTGTTACACTGCACACAGTAGTCTACAAGTAAAGGACAAACACTTGCTTTATACCAAAACCTTTGAACCTCACATAATGACTGATACAGTACTTGCCTGTTTTTTAAAGTACACCAAGTCCTACAATAGGAGGTCCATAAATAAGCTTTCCTATTCTCCATAAAAATTAATAAACTTGTGCAAACTCTCAAAGATAGGAATATACAGATTAGAACCTATGATACCTGAATCATTTTAATGGAATCAATTTTTATTCTTGGTGAGAAGGAAATCAGTTGTAATGCCCCCTTATTACAATTTCTGTGACTCGCACTTCTAGTCACTTTTTCCCAGTGGGTTTTGTTCTTTTCTTTTCTTTTTTTAATTTCTTTTTGAGACAGGATCTTACTATGCAGTTCAGGTTGACCTTGAACTCACTTTATAGCCTAGGCTGGCCTCGAATTTGCAAAGATTCTCCTGCCTTAGCTTTCCAAGTGCTGGGATTACAGTCACTATCAATGGGTTTCATAAACAAAATTATGTTTTCTTTTTTTTTTATGTGTGTGTGTGTGTGTGTGTGGTGTGTGTGTGGCCAGCTCCGCCCACCAGGGGGCGGGGTGGGCTGGCATGTGGTGCTGGGGGATTGAACCATGGACCCAGTGCTTTGCTTAGTTTAGCTTGTTCTAAGTAGGTGCTTTAGACCACTGAGCCAGCTCACCAGCCCCCAAAATTATGTTTTCTTTCCTCCAAGAAAAATAATTTTGCTCTCAATGATAGTTTAGTATGTAGAAAAGGAATCTGGAAATTCACTACGTTAATGATTTATGAGTCAAACATAAGTAGTAGGAGTAATGAGACTTTATTATTCATGTGGCAATAAAAATTAAGAAAAATTTACCTTAAACTCCTGTTTCCATTGGGTTGCTGAGTAGCTCAGGCCCCAATAAGTAACCTTCCATAATATGAAGTATCTTACCTTAAAATGAATGTATTTGAGGAGACCAAAGTGCTCAGCAAATTCTTGGAGATAGTCCCAAAATTTCCCATGGCTCATGAAATTGGGATAATCTTCTCGGAAGGGAAAGTCACTATAGCATGACATTTCCTTGCAGACATTGGTCACTAATGATCTGTAGACCCTGGTCATTCCATCCTTGGAATCTTCCTGTGGTGAGAGGAGAGGTAGTGACAGGGTGGAGCAGGACTTAGGGACTCCTGACAGCTCTGGGAGGTTTTGGGGCAGAGTTTTTCTTGTCATTTTACAGACTTCCAGAAAATTCAATATTAGGTCCTCTTGGTATAAGGAAAGGAACTCACTAGAGAGATTGGAGTAATTAAATAATCTTCCCCAAACCCTGGAAAAGCTAATGAAATTTAATAGGTATCCTGAAGACTATATTACCCTTAACTGATTTTATGAACGCAGGGTCTAAGACCCTTTTCTTTCCTCTTTTCCATGCCCACTTTATCCCTCATGCTCTTGATGTCATCCTCTTTGTATCCTCTCGGGCAACTTTTTGCTGATTTTTGTGATTATTATCTATGTATATTTCCAACCCATACCCCTCCCCCATGTGGGCTCCTTTCCACAATTCCTTAAAATACTGAAGATTAATTTTTAAAAAAATTTTATTTATTTGTGTGTGTGTATGTGTGTGGCCAGCTCAGCCCACCAGGGGGCGGGGCTGGCTGGCATGTGGTGCTGGGGGATTGAACCGTGGTCCCTGTGCTTTGCTAAGCTTGTTCTAAGTAGGTGCTTTAGACCACTGAGCCATCTCACCAGCCCCCTGAAGACTAATTTTAAGGACAAACAAATCCCTCTCTAATCTACATCCTCTCTTGGGCCTGTTCCTCCCCATCCTATCCCAGGGTTTAGGAAAGAAGCATCGTCCACTGGTTACCTCTTTTCTCCTACGGTCTTTGAACTATTGTATGGTTTTGATCTCCACTGCTCAAAAGAAAACACAACAAAAATGTATACATCCAAGGCTTCAGTGAATTTCTTGTGGCTGAAACTAATCTCCTCCAAGTCTTTTCCTTAGCTCTCAGCTTCCTCAAGAACTTTTTCGTTACCTAGGAGACCTGCATTAGGCTATTGTTGTGGCTCAATGCACTCTGGTCTTCCTTCACAAAACTGATGATATTTAACTGCAATGATCTCTTTGTTCTTTCTTTTTCCACTACACTAGAAAGAGGTTTGGGTTCCTATGTCTTATGTACCACTGTGTCTCATCAGGAGAAAAGATATGTACACGCTCAATGAATGCAAATTAATATTACCATCGTGTATAGAGTCTATGTGACTGGAAGAAATTACACCCTCATTTGAATAGTACTAAGCTGTGGGTATTATTTCTATAATTTGTATTTTTCATTTTGTTTAGTTCAATATTATTTTCTAAAATTCAGAAAACTTTTAGAATAGGAGAAACGAATTAAACCAACTGCAGTTTAAAGCATAGCGGAAGCTACATAAACTAGATTCAATGTTTATTAGCACACTGAGTTTTAGTTACTTCATGAAGCTCACAGGAAATGAGAAAAAAAGTTTTATCTTCCTTCGAGGGCGCTCTGGCCCTTGGGTACTGCTACTCCTGTCTGTGTACTTCAGCTTACTGTATTCTCTTCGCCATCATTCCGAGATTCAGCAAGCGCGATCTTTCTCACAGGAGCTTTCCGCATTCACACAGGCTGAATGGGTGCTGCTCTTCCGTCCCCCTGAAGCTCTTGGTGCTCTTTCTGCCTGGATTCCCTCACCTGACACCTTCTTATCCCCTCACCGGGGCAGGACCCTTCGTTCCCGACGTTCCTTGCTGCCTTGACCAGTCCTGGCCGAGGACCAGTCCTGGCCGGAGGCAGGTGGTACTGCACCGCTTCCTGGTCTCTTCGCTGATACTCAGGGCACCAACGGCTGGCCCAACCAGGACCGTTCCTATCTACTTTATATTCTCCTTTGAAGAAGAACTGCTCAGTTCCTGAGTTTTTCTATTCTGATATTGTGAAAACTCTTCCCCACCTACCAGACTTAAGTCTGGGGTCCTGCATCATTGCTAGTTGTCTTTCTGAAGACCTAAACAAAAGTTTGGGGCTGGACCTCCTCTCCCCGATGCCAATATACATTCTCCCTCAGTGTAATGTACTCCATATTCACCATGCTGTTCAGCTCTACTGATGTAGCACTCTGTTACTTTAACTATGTCCATGGTCCAGAAATTGCCATAAACTTCCTGTGTTTGCCTGTCAGGCTTAACTCCTTCTTTTATCTTCTCAGACTCCTGACCAGGTCTGCCTGTTCTGGTGACTCCCCACTTTTCAGGCTGCAGCTGCACAGTGACATGCACACCGCAGTGCCACGCACCACTGCACCATGCACACGTTCCTTTGGCTGCTGTGGGCCCCTCCCTGACTTGGCCACCGAGGCAGGCTGAAGCCACCCAATTGAGCAGAAACAGAGCGACTGGCCAGATCATGACAGATGGGGATGGGTACAGGTAAGGCACGCACTGAAAACTTCCAGAGTCCCCCGAAGTTATCGCTTCTCTCAAAGCAGGTGGGCTCCAGCTCCTCATCCAAGCAGCATTTGATGGAGGACAGGCCGCTCACCCCAGCTCCAATCACTGCGACTCTCTTGGCCATGGGATGCTCTGTGAGAAAAGGACAAGCAGCACTGCTTTACATCACAAGGTTGGGACAGAGCCTGGCCACAGGAGTGGACTTAGGCAGGGCTAGAAATCCTTTCCTTCCACCTTGGAGGGGAGGCTGAGTCACATTTTCCCTAAAAATGCAGGTTCTCAGAGCACACTGTTTTGGTTTAAGTGTAGCTTCATGACCTATTCATGATCAATAAGCTGTGCAATAGGGGACTAATTTTTTATCTTCTGTGTGCCTTGTTTTCCTCTCCAGTAAAATGGGGATAATAATGATAATAGGAAGAAGGACCATGATAATTATATACTTTTAAGGATTAGTTTTGAAGACTAAATGACTCACGTACATTGGAGGGATTTTAGAAGTATGTTTGCTACGTAGTGAGTTTCAATTAAAGGTAGCAATTATTATTATCATCCACTCTGGCCAGTAGCTGAAGCTTCTGGGGCTAGATGCCCTCAGGATCAATGGGCTCTTGTGCTATCAACTTGTCTCTCTGAATTCTAGGAATTGTAGTCAATAAAAAGTTTAGCTTTTATCCAACACCTCCATGGCCCAAAATAATAACTAAGCTTGCCCATGTCCAGCAGTGCAGTGAGGACACTAATGTCATGCAGGGCTGGGGTTCTTACCTTTGTCCAGGCCAAAGGCTGACTGACCAGAACAGAGTCCCCAAGGAAAGTCATGTGGACATGCCGGAGTTAAGAGAGTTCAAGCAGAAAGGCTGACGCCTACACTTGTCAGTATGTGTCAGGGGCACTCAGAGTCAGGTTCTGGGTTTTTTCCAACTTTATCCTTCCCCAAATCTCTGTATAGTATTTGTCTGATCAGGAGGAATACTCATGTAATTTCAGTAAATCAAGTTTCCGTCATGTTGAGCCTTTGGAGATGCCAAGGGCATTTAGTTGTAAGTGTTGTTTTCTCCAGAGTCTTGCCCAATTTGGAAAATATACAAACAATAATCAGCCTCAAAGTATTTGTGTCATAAAATATATCTAAATCATTTGACTTTGGGTTTGAAGATATAATTTTTTCTTTCTTTTTTTTGAGGAGAGATGTAGCTGTGTAACTCCCACATGGTTTCTATAGTGATGTGTCACTTAGCATGGTATTTACCTCAGGGAATCAAGAGAGTAAATACATATTGAGTTTCTTGCACCAGCAAGTGGGAAAAATAGCATCATCCTTTATCATAACCAAAGACTAAGGAGAGGAAGAGTCTGCCTTGAAGGAGGGATTTGGGCTCTGGCACCAGGATATGACTGTGCTGTTAGTTCAAGAGCCTGAGATTTGGTGGGCTTCCTGTCACTAAGCCTCGCCTGAGATTTGTGGGTGTCCTGTCACTTGTCACTAAGCCTCTTCCTTCACCTTTGCTCAGGTTTGCCACTGCGCATTTGGAAATCTGTCCCTGTGACTTGACAGCTTTCCTTGGAATCAGATAAGAAGTTGGGGAGGGGGGGCTGGGGAGATGGCTCAGTGGAATAAGGGCTTCCCCGGCAAGCGCAAGGACCTGAGTTCAATCCCCGGTTCCACCAGGAAAAAAAAAAAAAGAAGCTCCAGGGGCAGGAGCAAATAAAGTCACTGACTATTGAGGGCAGGAAGGTCTTCTGAGCCCTCAGACTTCCTTGGAGTCTACCATGCTGGCGACTTGCACCGAGAGTCAGGCATTTTCAAGTGATATTTATTTATTTATTTATTTATTTATTTATTTATGGTACTGGGGATCAAATTCAGGACCTTGCACTTGCCAGGCAGGCACTTATGCCACTGATCTATATTCTCAGCCATCCTTGTGACTTAGGAGGTTGAGATTGTCGTACTATCTTCAACTGCCAAGTTTATACCTCTGCCTTTTAGTTTATCTGGGAGTCCTTTTATTTTAGAGAGCCAGGTAGTCTGGAAAGAGAATGAGCTTTAGTGTCATCAAAACTGGGTTTGAAGTTTGTGTCTGCTACTGACTCATGTGATGAGCCTGAGAAAAGTACTGGAAGTCTAGACATGTCATTCGGAATATGAGAGAAGAACCATGTTAAAGGATTGTGGGCGTATAAAACTAGCTGGTGTTATTTACATAAAAGTAACTATCAAACAATACTTATTTATTATAAGTATTATTATTTAGTTCATTCTCTAGTTATGTCGTTGTTCCCTTCTTTCTTTACCTTCTCCCTAGAAAAGACAAAACATACTGATAAATTACATCATATCATTGGGAACATAGGCCAGGAGCCTGTGGGTTTTCTTGAGCTGAGGAACAGGAGGTCCACTCAGTTTCTAATCTGAAAGAAACAGCTTCCCCCGATTCAAACTCTACTTGAAGTTCTGGCCACTAAGTGAAGGTTTCTAATTGGGAGATCTCTGCCGGGCTTTATGTTTGTGACAACACAAACTGAATGGTTGTTAAGTGCATTGGGAAGGTGGGCCATGTGGTGAAAGGAATGGGTTGGCAGGAAGCAAATTCATGCAACAGATGTGCGTTGGTTACCCCTAAGGGAACAGATGATCAAGATGCAGCTACTGAACAAAAGTAATAACGCAGAAAGGTTTTTTTTTTTTTGGCTGGCTTGAGTCCTGGGGATCAAACCACAGCAACCTGAGCCTGACTGCTTTGTTGAAGCAGCGACTTAAAGAACTGAGCTAAAAAAAAAAAAAAAAAAAAAAAAAAGAACTGAGCTAAGGGGCAGGCCCCCTTTAAAATGTTAGAAGGATTCCCGCCCCCCCAGGCTGGCTCAGAATGCCTTCAGGGCAGGTTTGACTGGCTTGAATTTTGGGGATCGAACCACAGCAACCTGAGCCTGACTGCTTTGTTGAAGCAGCCACTTAAAGAACTGAGCTAAGGGGCAGGGCCCCCAAAAGTAATAATGCATTAGAAGTTAAAAAAAAAAAAAAAAAGAGAGAAAGAAAATGAAGGTAACAGTGACATCCCTTAAGAACACTGCTGTGCAGACAGAGGCTGACAAGCAGAGGTCCCAGGTACTCAGACCTACACCACAGCATGCTTGGGTACAAACCTTTGCAGACTCCCTTTGGCTCTGTCTGGAGTGGGCTGTTGGGATAAAAAAGGACTGAGAAGAAACACCTTGGTTTTTAAATATGAGAGATTATACAGGCAGTAGACATAACTGGGAAGTTGTACGTTTTAAAGTTAATCTATACTCAGAGCCCATGAATTTCTGAATGGGGACAACCATATTAAAATGCGCTTTAAACCAGCAAGGACAGGTTGTGAGCCAACCGGAAGTGGAGAGTTCTGAGTCCCCTGTTCTGCTTCTATAAACCCCTGTGCAGAAGGGAAATTTTCTTCATTTCTCTATGCTACTTTTTCCATTAAATAGAGAGTTAAAATTTCTGTTTCTTTCCTTTTTAGCTCGAAAAGGTTTTTCTTGGATCTGAGTAGCAATTAATTGATGCCAAAACATAAAATGAAATCATGAATTCAAAGGTGGGAGGGAAGACTACAGTTGTGAAGAGCTGGGAACAGGCGAGGTGGGTTCAAGCTCTTTGAGAGCCTGGGGAGATAGCTTAGTGGAATAAGTGCTTGCCTCCCCCTCACCCCCTTAGCTAACTAACTTGCAATCAGTTTGGAGACCCAGAAAGACATTGATGACTTGCAAATCATAGACTGTAATCAGTTATGATTTGGGTTTGGAAGTTAGTCAGCTAATGTTTCTTATCACAAACCCACTAATGCTTTTATATTGTCACAGTATTTCCTATCGTGCACTCTGTGGAGTATTTTGGCTCTCCCAGTGCCTGGTATTATTTCATTCATGAGATGAAGTCAGGAGTGAATGCAGTCATGAATGACTGTGATTCTGTCATTCTCACTGACCTTCTTGCAGATGAAGGTAACTTTATTCCTTCATAATTTCCCTTTGCTTCCCAATTCTTTGCTTGACGCTGTTGGTTTTACCCAATCGAGAGGATCCAGAAGACAATCACGGTCCTCTTTAAGCAATTCCCAGTCCAGGGAGAGGGAGCCTTTCGAGTCTGCAAAAGCATTTTCCGGAAACATTTCAACTTTATAAAAGACCAGAACACTCACCTTGTCAGCAGAGAGCAGACACCCACACTTACTTCTCAAAACCAAAAATCCAAAGATACTGCTTGCCTTTAAACAAACAAACGCAAAAGTTTGAAATCTAAATTCCTTGGTTTGAAAGAAAAATAAACAGCACACTGATTCGGTCAAGGTGCTTTCGCTTTCGAAGCAGCACCACTGGCTCCTCCTGGCACACAGGTGACAGACGTATTCTCTCTGGGGAAAAATAGTTGCGTCTGAAGCAGATGTTGATACTTCCGGGGTCTGCAGGCAGGGCTGCTGGATCAGCCAGAGCACAGCTTCCTGATTGGGAAGAAGTGACTCCTGCTCTCTCCCCACCCTCCTAAACGTCAGAGTTAGGGCGAAGGCCCAAAGTGGAAGGGAGACACGTGATGAGGCATGCTTTTGTCATTGTGGCCGGGAGAGGGCGCCGAAGCGCAGGCCTCCCGGGGAGGCAGGCTGCTTCTGGAAGCTTCAAACTCCTGTGCCTTAGCCTCTGAATGGTCGCAGGAGCTGTCCACAAGAGAAAAGGCTGCGGGTGACCTGTCTGAGGTTTTCTCTTCCAAAAGTGTGACTTTAGTATTCTGGATTTATAAGGAATAAAAGCAGTATCATCCTTCAGATTGGGTGGGCAGAGGGAGGTGGTATATTGTGTTTTAGCAAGCATGAAATTATTCTTAGGTATTCACCTGGGGCACAGAAAGGAGCAACGATGGTAAAATAATATTAAGTATTAATATTTTTTTAATTTTTTTCCACTAAATCCTTCGACGCTAACATAGCAGGCCATCTCAGGTTTTACGTTTAGCAGCATTTTCCAACATGGTTCATTGAACGGTTTCTGATAGAAAGGAAGAAAATGGCCCGGATCTGACCAGAACGCACAGCTCGGCCTCTTCAGTCAGATAAATGCTGCAGTTAGAGAGCTTGAGCCCAGTATTTCAGACTCTTACATTAGAATTTGCTAATCCAGTTTTAGCACGAAATCTGCTGTTGGTAATGAAATACTGTCTTTCTTTCGAAAAAATATCTTGGCTACAGAAGATATTTAGGGACTGTTAGGGACAGTTTTCATCAGTGAATACTGATGTATCCCTCCCTCATATTCTCAGGACTGGAGTAATATGAATTACCATCTAGGAAGCTCCTGGCACCTTCTCTTTTTCTCTTTCTCTGTTCCTGCACATTTCCTTTTGCCAAACATGTAGAGTAAGCTGCAACCCCCAGGGTGCCATCCTGATTTCAGCATATATCACACAAGAAAAGGCATGCACTCGCACAGTCACAGTGGCGCTACGACATGTGAGAAAATCTATACAATTTAATAGTATAATCCCATACAAACTCCACTGTCAAATTTCCCCAATGGGCTCAAAAACTTCGTGATGGTGTGGTGGTGCTGGCTTGTATAGAGATACTGGGAGCATCTCTCCTAGGTTCACTAGTACCATAGACATTGGGAGTGGCCAATGGCCTGAGGGGGGTGACGGTGGTGCTGGAGAGCGGGCCCAAGCCTTCACACTAAGCCGCATCTCAGTCTGGAGACAGGTCTCACTAAGATGATCAGTTTGGGCTCAAACTTGGGGCCCTCCTGCCGCCACTTTTCAGAGTGCCAGAACTACAGGTATAATGCGTTGCCCTCCCTGCTGCTTGGGGGGAATGTTTAAAAAATGGAAATTGACTAGCAGTACAATTGGCTTCACCTCCCCCCTTCTCTGAACCAGGTGTTAAATCTTTGCCAGTACACAACTTGATTTTTTATTTTAAAGAAATCATTTTTTTTTGGGGGGGCGGTCTGCCCCTTAGCTCAGCTCTTTAAGTGGCTGCTTCAACAAAGCAGTCAGGCTCAGGTTGCTGTGTTTCAATCCCCACAACTCAAGCCAGTCAAACCTGCACTGAAGGCATTCGGAGCAAAAAAAAAAAAAAAAGAAAGAAATCATTTTTTTATTTGGTACAGGGTCTTGCTATGCGGGTTGGATTCATAATGCTCCTCCTTTATCATCCTTCCCAGCACTAGGATGACAGGTATGTGTCATCACACCCCATTTTAGTGGCCTGCATGGCATGCCTCTGGTTTCTGGGCTGGCATTCAGTACCAGGGATAGAACCTGGGTCCTTGTGTTGCCAGGTAGGCGTTTAGACCACTACACTATGTCCCCAGCCCTGCATTATTTTTTTTTAAAGTAGCTTTATTGAAGTATAGTTGTGATACAAAAAACTGCCCAAATCTACTATATACAATTTGATATGTAGATACACAGTGAAATTATCACCACGATGAAGGGAGTAGGCGTGCCCTCCAAATGCATCCTCATTATATTTGTGTGTGCACATGTGCATGTGTGTATGTGTAAGAAAACACAACATGAGATCTACTGTCTTAAGTTTTTAAGCACACAACACAGCATTATTAACTATGGTTAGCACATTGTACAAACAATCCTTTGATCTTTTTTATTTGCAAAATTGAAAGTTTACACCCATTCACTGGGTGTGATGGTGCATGCCTATAATCCCAGCACTTGGGGAGTTGAAGCGGGAGGATTGTTGTGAGTTCCAGGCCAGCCTGTGCTACCTAGTGAGTTTAAGGTCAGCCTGAACTGCATAGCAAGACATAGTCTCACAAAACAAAAGAAAGAAAAAAAAAAAGAGAAAAAGAAAACTTCCCACTACCCAGCCTCTGGCAACTCCCACTTTTGTTCTTCTGGGACTGGTTTATTTCATGTAGCATAATGTTGCACAGGTTTACCCAAGTGCCTGAGAACAGCATGATTTCCTTCTTTTAAAAAGACTGAACAACATTCTGCTGTATGCTAATGTTGCCTTTTCTTTATCCATTTGTTTATTGACAGGCATTTAGGGTGAGTCCTTGTCCTGGCTATTGGGAATAATGCTGCAAATAATATGGGAATTGATATATGTCTTGGAGACTCTGATTTAAATTCTTTTGCATATATACTCAGAAGAGGGGCGCTGGATCATATGGTAGTAGTATTTGAAATTTTGTGAGGACTGTACTGTTTCTCATGTTGGTTTTATCATTTTACATTCCCACCACAGTTTCATTTTTCCTGTGTACTGGCCAGTACTGTTACCTTTGTATTCCTTATTGGTAATAGCTATCTTAGCAGGTGGGAGGTGAGGCAGCCTTGCTCTTGATTGCATTTGGCTGTGAGCACAGCTGCCAGGATGGGTGATGATGCGTGCTGCTGCCTGGGGGGGGGGGGCATACATCACCTCTGGAGAAATGCGTATTCAATCTCTGTGGCCTTTCTCTTAATCTCTTGCATCCTCTCAGCAGCTGTTGAAAAGGAGGATGTAGTTTAGGTGTGTATGTTTTTCTAGGTCTGCGGTCTTCTAATCCAAAAGTGTGATTTTAAAGTTCAGGATTTGCAAGGAATTTGTAGAGTCATCCTTTAGATTGGGTCAGCAGGGGGTGCTAGTAAACTGAGTTTGAGAAGGAGACAAGTTATTCTTAGATGGTCACCTAGGGCACAGAAAGAATGGTTTTGGAGGCGGCAGTAGTACAATGCAGTGGAGCAGCCAGCACTTTTATTCTCTCCAATAAGGCATAGACGCAAATATAGCAGAGGATCTGACATTTTGTGTCTAGGGACATTTTCTGAGCTCCATCTTTCTTCCTTCTTTTCTTTCTTTCTTTCTTTTTTAAGTTTATGTATTTGGTACAGGGTCTCATTATTCAGCTTGGACTCCTAGCGATCCTCCTGTTTTCAGCCTCCCCAGTGCTGGGATTACAGGCATGCACCACCTTGCCCAGACTCTGAGTAGTTTCTTTCTTTTTTAATTTAATTTTTTTTTTTTTGAAAAGTAAAAGCAAAGCAAGAACAAAAATCAGAAACAAAGAAACAGGGCAACATACAATAATACATATGTTGCAGACTTTTTGGGGGCCTGTCCCTTAGCTCAGTTCTTTAAGTGGCAGCTTCAACAAAGCAGTCAGGCTCAGGTTGCTGTGGTTGCATCTCCACAACTCAAGCCAGCCAAACCTGCCCTGAAGGCATTCGGAGAAAAACAAAAACAAAAACAAAAACAAAAACAAAAACAAAACCTTCTACAGACTTTTTTTTTTTTAATAGTCTAAAGTTTTATTCTGAATCAATGGTAGAAGATGAATTTAAAAAGTCCTTGCTTTGTCCCAGGTCTGCTCTTACCACTCTTCAGTGATTTCTTTTCTTTTTTTTCATAATTTTATTGATAAACAAATAGCAATTGGACAGTTTCAAATCAAATTGGTAGGATAGTTTCAATAATTAACACATTGCATACATTCTTCCTAGTGGTTAATTGCTGTACAAGATGCAAACATGATATTCTATTTACAAACACCATTAGAACAAATCCCCCTATTCATTAAGAGAATGTAACCATATATCTATCCTAATTACCTTGAATACAGAGATACAAAATGGACATTCATCCGTATCCCCTTTTTTTGTTAAGTTCCATTATTTGAATATTATAGGTGTATAAATTCAACAAAATATTCTAAAAGAGTCCAGTAGCCCATAATAGTATTGGGTCTTCCACTTGACTGGCAGTGTCAGAAATTGTTGACCTGAGTCCCCTGCAGCTCAACATAACACCATGGCTTTACTTCTTATATTTCGTTTTTATACTTTTCTGCTGGATGGTTAAGACCAAGGTAAAGCAGGACCT